AGCCCAGAAAGTACTCCTGGACATCATAAAATATTGTGTCTCCGTGATTTCAGGAGCTTAGCAACTGGTTCACCGTTCATCATAAAATATTGTGGACATCATAAAATATTGTGTCTCCGTGATTTCAGGAGCTTAACAACTGGTTCACCGTTCTGGTTGGATGTGGCATCCTTTGGTTACATGACTGTGATTTGTGATTATTATTATTATTATTATTTTGCCAGTTTCTGGGAAAAAACACTCCTTCAGAAGAATGGGTTCACACTTATGACCATGATATTTGCTTAATGACCATCACACAATCGAGTCATGTAGGTGCCTCAAATTATGACCATAACTACTTATCACTAGAAATCTGGTCCCAATTGCAATCATAAGTTGATAACTACCTGTATATTCTTTTATGCTTAGCTATATTCTGAGTTTTCCAGGTAAAATTGTCACGCTTACTGTCTTTTACATTTCTAAATTGAAAACTTGTACATTTGATACCATTACATGTTACAGTCTGTTCTACAATCTGCTGATTGGGTTGTGTTTCGGTCCCTCCTTTTTGCTATTATGTAATCAGTTTTCCTTTTGTGTGTGTGATGCTGTGCATCTAGGGATGTCCATAAGTTACTTGAAACACCTGTTGGCAATAAACCAAGAGTTCCCCTTGTAAAACTCTGTTTTAATGTATTTCCTGCATGTGATGCTGACTGGAGTTGCTTTTTGTAAGATGGGTGACCATATACATGCTATCAATAAATAAAATATGTTTATCTATTTGTACATTATTATTGCTGTAAAGCATATTAAATCATTTCTCGGAAATCAAAGTTTAGTTTAGCTGCAAATACATTCTGTAATTTATTTATTTTTACTTATATGCTAAAAAAGGCAGATTTTGTAGGAGATAAGATGTTGTCTTCAAGTTTCCCTAACATCAAAGGATTCCCCCCCCATCAAATTAAAAAGAATTATGTGGGTTTCTTGCTCATAGGTTGCCTAAGTTTTGCAGGAAAAGACTTGCTAAACCATTCTGGATGTATAATTTAATAACTTTCTATTCAAGATTTATATGTATCATTTGTAATGTGCAATTTGAAAACTGGTGGATCCGTTGTGGGATGTTTCTTTTTCTGATGTTTGGTTCTGCATAATGTATTATTCCATTTTAATTGCCTCATGTTGCATGCCACCCATAATCACACTGCCAGTATATACTGTAAAAATAAATAATCCAATCCATGACTAATGTGAATGCTGTTTTAGGACTGTTGTTTTATCTGAGGATTTTAGATATTATCTGGAAGCCAGGATTACTTACAGTAAAATAAGAATATATTTAATTCCTCTAGTTTCTGAAGGTTAGAGCTGTCTGTTTTGGAAGATCTGATTGCCTGAACTGCTACAAGAAAAGATGCATTTATTTTATGATAATATTGGCCCTTTGGAAATATTATTAAATGGGCAACAAACATAAAATCTGCAGTTCCAGGAACTACCATATAGTTCCAATATGATGCAAGTAATGTAGCATTTACATTTTAAAGAAGAAATAGCTGATAAACAGTGTAAAATAAATTTCAAACCTTAGGCACGTATATCAATTTATGTCTCTCCCAAATGCAGATGGAATTCTTCATGGTCTCCAATGCTTCGTTTTGCAAAATGTTCAACAAAAGTTTCAAAATGGATAAAAACCCATAAAGGCAGTCATTGATCTATGACCACAATTGGGACCAGAGTTTCTGTTGCTAACAAGGCACTTGTTAAATGAATCACACCCAATTTCACAACCTTTTTTTACAAACCATTTTTAAGAAACCGCTGCCGTTGTTAAGTAAATCATGCGGTCGTTAAAACATATCTTGCACCCCCTGACTTTGCTCATCAAAAGCTAACTGTGAAGGTTGAAAATGGCAATCATATGACCTTGAGATGCTGCAACCATCCTAAATACATGCTGGTTGCCAAGAACCCAAATTTTGATCATATGATTGTGATGCTGCTGCAAGAAGTGTAAGTATGAGGTGTCAACTAAAAAAAATTTCTCTGGTCTTTTAGAGTTGTCAGCAAAAAGGGACTGGGGGAAGCAATGCATATCTTAAATATTTTCATAGATAATTGCTAGGCGGCCGAAGCTTCTGGCGCGCAAGATTATTACTGGACAGTATGATTGATGACTCTTGGCTATGGATGTGTCCCATTGGAGAATATACATCAAGCGGGGTGGGGGAAAACCAGTCTCAAGGGTGAGATGAATGATGTGTCTTAGAGTTGGCTGCACCCAGGTAATGCCGGCCTTGTTCACTCCTAATAAATGATTTCTTTTTTTTAACTCTGAGAGATGTGGCTAGAGGCTCATGATTTGAATAGGGGTGGATTGTCGGAGCCCTGACATGAGAGCTGGTTTGAGTCACTTTTTTCAGTGCTGTTGTAACTTCAAAGAATGGCTAAATGAATGATTGTAAGCTAGGGCCTATCTGTACAGTAGAATCTCTGCTGTACATGTTAAAAACAGTGGCTCCCAACCTTTTGGGACCAGGGACCGGTTCCATGGAGAGAGGTTTTTCCACGGACCGGAGGCAACGTGGTTTCGTGTGCTGCCTGCATCCCATGGATGGGGCTTACTTGTTTGCGTGGCCCGGTTTTGGCATGCCATGGCCCAGTGTCGGTCGACAGACTGGTGGGGTTGAGGGACCCCGATGTAAAACATTCCGTTTATCCCAGGATTCTGTGTTCTGATAGCTGAAAAACAGGGGATAATATTGAAATAATTGCGCAAGTTCTGGTTTCCTTTTTTCTTAGGTCTGATTGGCGCTTCCTGCTTATCTCTTCTCTGTGCCACTCCTGCTAATTTTCTGGTCAGAAAAGGTTCCAATTCTAAGATACTTTGTAGAGGTTGTACTCTTTTAGCAAATGCCTTGGATAGTAACTGTTCACAGTTATGACAGTGGTGAAAAAGTAATTGCAGCCAATGTCTGCATTTATAACCCTTCTAGTCTCTCTCCCTCTCTCTCTTTCTCTCTTTTTTCTTTTTTCCCCTTCACAGAATGGAGAGATTGCCTAAACAAGCTATCTTGCTATCTTCCTGAGGTTTTTTTTTCTTCTGTAGCACAGCATGTGCTAACCACAAGTTAACAGTCTGGGCTAGGTGACTTTTAATGAGTTGATTAGAACCCTTCAGTCTACTGGCAGCTGCTGCCAGCAATTGACAAGATCCTAATCAGTTTCCTACTAAACACTTCCTTTTGCCTCCCTCATGTGCCAGCCTGCTAAGCAAGCATCTGATGGTATCACATTCATTTTGATGTGCATCCCCAATTGTGTACTTGCTTTACTCTCTTGTAATCCTATCCTTTCCAGTGAATGCAAATATAATTATCTTCTTGCTAATTATCCTAGCATTAGGGTAAGGATTCTGAAGAGCAGTAAGGAAACCCCCCCCCCAATAAGATTGGCCCTTTTAGCTGTCTTCCTCCTGCATCAAGTTCCAGAAACCTTCCTTAGTTGTTTGGGTTCATTCAGATGGTTGGGATTGTATCTTTTAGATCAGGGATCCCCAAACTTGGCAACTTTAAGACTTGTGGACTTCAACTCCCAGAATTCCTCCTCCAGTCATGTTACCTCAGGAATTCTGGGAGTTAAAGTCCACAAGTCTTAAAGCTGCCAAGTTTGAGGACCTCTGCTTTAGATGCTGTAAAGCAAAGGAAAGCTGAAGCAAAATTGTAGGCACAGTCATGGTCATATGATTTTCCATTTAACAACCAGTTCAGTTAATGACCAAGTTGCAGGTCATAATTATGGCCACTAAACAAGGCCTACTGTAATCTGTTCCCTAGTGTTAAGGAAAGCAGTAATTCTACTTGCATTTGTGGGGAGTTGGGATGAATGTGCTGGTAAAAAGTATTTGATAAAACAAACATGCTCCCATTGCTTGAGATTCTTCCTCTTCTTGGCTTCTGAGGAAGAAATGGCTACCTAAAAATGGCTATGTAAAAAATGGAGCTGACAACTGCAGCCAAATTAGGAGCTAGACCTGGATAATTTTCCTGTACTGGATTTCTAAAAGGGATTTGTTGAAGTTTTGAAGAGTTTTGCTGGAAGGGACAAAAAATGAAACATTATTTGAAGGAAGTAAAGAGCAAGATTGTTAGCAAAAAGAGGGAATTCAAGTTTGTTTATTTGATTAAGGCTAAATAGGTAGAGTATATTATCTCTGGTGTCTCTTGCTGGATTGCTGAAATGAGGGAGATTTTATAAAAAAATAATAATAGATAAGAGATGGGTTAAGGGAAGAATGAATCATGTGTTACATTTTAAGAGAAGGTGATAAGTTACTAAAATTGCTTATACTTGTGAAGATGAAAATGGGAAGTCACTTTTTTATATATGCTATTTTTCTTTACTATGTGTTTATTTTTTATTTTTTTCTTTCTCTTTTTTCTGTGCTTTTTACCATTTCTTTTCTTTTACTTTAAAAAAACTTTGTATGAGTTATTATTGTTGCAATTATACTGTAATTCTTAATAAAATTACTATATAAGAAAGATTGTTTTTCCAAAATCTTCATTGCACAAAGAATGAATCCTCATTTCCTTCCGCTATGGATCCTTCCCCTAAAATAATTAAGTAAAAAAGTTCATGCTACTCAATTATTGTCAGTTACTGTTGGGAGCTGGAATTTTGGTAATGAAAATCAGAGAAGCAATTAGTGTATTGGTTATTAATGCCAATACGCAGTTTATTGAAATACCTAATCTGTGGCATTTAGTTTTCTAGAGGAAAAGAAGAGATGATTGTTCAGAAGTAATTGCATAATCTTTCAAATTTAGGCAATTTATATCTCATTTCTTACCAAGCAGTTCTCTGTCTACACTGGTATTATAGCAGAAACAAGGTGGGGGGGCAGGGAGGGAGAGAAAATGAATGAGAATGAATCCCATTTAATGAAGAAAAAGCATTAGAAATAACTTGGTTAAATGCTCACAAGCTTTTTTACCCACAAACAGATATTGGTCTGTTGGCAAAGCAGCACCTCGAGAAGGGTCTTTTGGTACCAGATCATGTAATTACACGTTTAATGATGACAGAACTGGAAAAAATACAAACTCAGCCTTGGTTACTAGATGGTAAGTGATTATTTTGTTTTTTTCTTAAGGTTACAACAACAAAAAATCTTTTTTCTGGAAACCTTTAAACATTTCAGTTAAATATATGCTCTATCACGTAGCACCAATATGAAAAAATTGATACTACATTGTACCAGAATGAGACTGAACCATTCTTTTTAATAGTTGGTAATAAAATAGACAAATAAAAACATATTGAGAGCATCTAGGAACAGAAGATACATAGTTTGGCTTTTGACAAATATTTGTTCATCTATTGCTGCAGATAATTATATACTTACAAATTCTGTTCCGTATATATTTTTGTATGCTTCTGTTTTGCCTCAGTCAAATTTATTCTAAGGGACATTTTACAATGTTGCAAAAAATAACAAGACAAAAACAGAATAATGCAATAGATCATAATAAAAAGATATCAAACTTTTTCTGTTTTTAGGGCAAGCGTTATAATATCACTAATACCATCCTTTTCTGAAATTTTTAAAAAAAACCTATGTCTTTATCAGATTTCTAAACACCAGAGAAGATACCAATTATGCCTCTTTGGATAAGCTATTCCATATCAATCCTCCCCCTTCCAAAAATGCTTGTTTCCAAGTGCCTTCTCTGAAATTTCTGTCAGGTGGAGACCATCAACAAACTCTCTCTAAAGCTTATATTAGATAGGGAGCTTCATTTGGAGTTTTGAAGTGTGGTTTTTGTCCTATGCTTGGACCTGACCTGAATTGAAAAGACTAAGTAATCACCTCCTTCAAAGGTCCTTTGCAGTTGTCACCTTCAATCTTCTCCAACATCTTCCCCCAAAATGGAAGTTGTAATTGTGCTTGCAAAACATAACCCTTTCGCTTCTTCATCTTTTAAATTAATTTAGTTACATTTGTCTTCAACTTCTAAGAATTTGAAAGGGTGGTATTTTCCCAATTTCTGTGACCCTTAATGGGATAGGTTTGATTCAAAGAAAGTACCAAGCCCAAATTTACCCAGTGAGTTTTTAGTGCTGAAAGTAGACTCCCTGTTTCTAAACCAGTGATTCTGAAATTAGGTCCCAAGATTAAACATTATACTCTCAGGACCTAGTTGTGGATGATGATTGAGGACTCCAAAGTGCTTCGGTTTATGTGGACTGTATCTATTAAAATTTATTATAAATTAAAACTGAGGAATTTTTAAATATTTTATTTTATGGAGTCTCTGAAAGAGTCTTGGGGACCGTCACATTTTGAAAACCACCATCCTGGATTAACATCTTAACCACTAAATCATGCTAGCTGTCTTCTCTTCTATCCAGAAGTGGTATATCAGTATCTTGTTTATCCCCAATGCTCAGGGATGTGACAACTATAAGCTGTCAGATTCCTTTATCTTGCTTTCTGTAATATGAAACAGTGCACCCTTCATCTGTTCCTAGAGCATGACAAGTAGCAACTGGCAGGTGGGAGGAGACAACAGAGCCAAGATACATTGCTTATAATGAAATCATTTTATGCTATTAGCATTGTTAGTGATAGATCACTTTGGCTAACTTGCATGTTGAATTTCAAAAGGAGAAACCTCACCCATTTTCTTTTTAAAAAGACAAGACAGCTTTATTTGACTATAAATAACTTGAAGCTTCAACAAATTACCGTAGGAAAATTGGACAAAATGGATTTCAGAATCCTGATTCTATTTTTATTTTATTTAATTTTTTATGTAAAAGAAATTCTTTAAAAATGGAATAAATAAATATTCAAAAATTTATTTTTGAAGTGTAGTATTTGCCCATATATAGAATAGAAGCAACTTTAAATAAAAAAGAATAAGTTGGATAACTTTTGCTGTCTCAGGCTACCTACACCAATTACAGAGTTGTCAATGCCTGGAATGCACTACCTGACTCTGTGGTTTCTTTCCCAAACCTCCAAAACTTAAACCTTAGACTGTCTAGTGTTGACCTCACCCCATTCCTAAGAGGGCTGTAGGGGGCTGTAAGCACACCAACGTCCTACTGTATCCAAGTAAGAGTAGATTCTTGACTCCGTTTCAAACTAATATTAGCTGATGAGTTGATACTTCTATTAAAGTGGCTTATAAGTGAGAGAAAGCTCTGAGCATGAATATATTTTGTACATGCTTATGGTTAATTAATAGTTGCCTTTCCCCTTTTTAAAATTAGAGTACAGATCTGGGACACTTATTTATTTTATTCAAAGCATTTATATACCCACCCATCTTCCAACCAACTCTGGTGGCTCCTAATCAGAAGTCAAAACAACAGATAAAATCATATGAAAAGTGTAAATCTTAAACAGATTAAAATAAAACATTAAAAATAACACTTGGCTTGAATCACTCTGTCGTCAGTGAAATACAGTATCTGATGGAATGGGAAATGTTCCCAAGTTGCCACCTTGCTATATAATGAAACTAGTGTCGGCTTGTGGCCCTGGGAACTGATGTACACGGCTTGCAGAGTTTTTGTGAAAGAAGGTGTTGTTCCCTTATGAATGATTGAGATTAATACACAATCCCCTTATGTAGTAATTCTTACTGTTTTAGGAAAAGGCATAAATGAGTCAAACATGCTGGTAGAAAAAGAAAGCTGTGTTGTGCTTTTATAAGAGAAAAAGGAAAACATGTTTATTCTGTTTCATATTTTCTTGCTGTCTTGGTTCTTTCAATTGCCTTCAGTTGCCTTCTTTATGCATACATAGATGAATGGGCCATTTTACACACATAGGAAAAGGCAAAGCTTCTGGCTGTGTATGCTCTAAAATATTTGAATGTTCTAGAACTCAAAACATGCTACTAAATTCGACTTAAAATAAAAGCCAGTATAAGATTGCCACCTTTGAATTAATGCAACATATTTGCTTGATCGAATGCAGAACTTTTGCCTTTTCTCTGAAGAACGAAGAGCCTAAAGCACGACTATTTTTAGGGAGGTGTCATTGTAAATATTTAACTGCTTGGCCACTGTGATCAATTTGTAAAGCACCTGCTGTCAGAATTGCTTCGATTCATTGAACTTCTGACTACTGATTCTTTTATGGTAATTAGACCATCTTTCTGCCTTGGGAACTTTGAGGAAGTAGAATGGGTGCAATCTAGATTGTTCTCTTCCACACGCAGTTTGGAATTTACTCATCCTGGCTGCTATCAAGAAATGATTGAAGAAGTGATGACTTGAATCCGTGGGATTGTTAATACCCTCTTACTTCGATAAAGGAACTCCCCCTAAAGGAGACTGAGGCTATCTCTTGATCTAGGTTCTCCATAACTATTGCCCAGTCTCCATTATTATTTTTTGCTTCAGTGCTTATTGACTACATTTTAAATTGTTATTTTATATATTTTATTGTAGGTTTTATTGGGTGCATTCATGCTGTGGCCATTTTGGAGCAGCCTTGTGTGTGATATATAAGCATTGTAAATACAGTACATGGTAATAAATAACTGGAATTACTATTTTAAGGCCATAAAGTAGGGGTGGATTTTTTGTTAACATTACAAACTCATTCCACAATTTATTATTTTCATTTCACTTTTTCATATAGGTTTTCCAAGGACATTGGGTCAAGCTGAATCACTTGACAGGATATGTGAACTGGATCTAGTGATAAGTTTGAATATCCCATTTGAGACCCTTAAAGACCGACTTAGTGCTCGTTGGATTCACCCAGCAAGTGGCAGAGTATATAATATGGAATTCAATCCACCTCAAATCCATGTAAGATAATGAATTGTGATTTGATAAAAGGAAGGGTGGACATTCGGATAATTCAATATCCTATGCATTGTATTTTCTAGATAGACTCACACTGATAGATTTATACATTTAGATTACATATTTTGGGGAAATGAAAGAGGAGCAAAAACAGTGGGGGGGCGGGGGGAAGGGAGGGCAGGGGGAATAAGTATGGCTGGCTGAATGTCCATCTCTCACTAGAAATTATTTTGAAATAACAGATGTAGTCGTTTACTTAATGACTGTTCTGTTTAGCAAGTGTTTGAAGTTAGCAAGTTACTTAAAAATAATTTTATGACAGGTCCACACACTTATGACCGTCATAGCATCCCCACAGTCACATGATCATGACTTGAATGCTTAGTAACCAGTGTGTATTTATAATTGTTGCAGCATCCCACAGTCACATGATTGCCATTTTTATGCTTCATATCCAGCTAATGACAAGCAGAGTTAACGGACTAGCCAGCAATACTATAAAATCACAAGTTGTGGTCACATGATGCATGATGTCTTAATACACAAGGATGATTTGTTTAATGATCACCAATGTTTCATGTAACTACCATGTTATTTAGTGATGGAGTTGCCAGTGAGTTAAGCAAGGTCAATCTCTACTACTTAATGATATCTGGCAGGATGCTGCTGATTTCTATTATACAAACAAACAAAGAAACAGTCAGTCTTGAATCAAAGATCCTTAGATCACAAGAGACACAGATCATCTTGGTAATAGAAAAGAGACTTCAGCAGCACTCTAGGGGAAGTACTGACTGCCACAGCCTGCTGATGGGTAGCAGGTTAACTGGATTTATCTTATGGGACTACACAAGGGATGTCAAACTCAATTTTATTGAGAGCCACGTTAGGGTTGTGTTTGGCCCTTGGGGAGACTGGAGAGGGCATGGCCAGGGTGGGTGTGGCCAACTCAACATCACTCATGTCACGGGCACCTCTGGTGGCCCGAGCATTCTGCCAGAGAAAATGGGCTCTTGAGCTCCATTTTCAGCTGCGATGGCCTGCAACCCTCTGCCAGCAAAAACGGAGCTTGGGAGGGCCACCTGTGTTCTTCCCAAGCTCTGTTTTCACTGGCAGAGGCACCGTGGGCCGGTCCTTTGCTGTTTCGAGGACGGCTCTGTGGGCCAGATCTAAGCACCGTGTGGGCCAGATCCGAAGCATGGACCTTGAGTTTGACAATCCCTGGATTACACTGTTGGTTTCAGCAGGCTACTCCGGGACTGTCTTTACCCAAACCACACAAAGTCAGCCAAATATTAATTCCAATCATTGGAAGGGGTTTTAATCTCTATGCATTTCCTAAACAGCTTGCCCTGGGTAGAGTTAAAAAGAGATTCCAAAACTTAAGTTCAAGAATATCTATACCTATGATCCCCATAGGCTCAAATGCAGAAAAAAGAGGTAAAATTTCAGTCAGAAATATAGGGAATTGTGACCTTCAGATCTGGGGAGAAGAGCTATTAATCACATTGCAGCCTGTGAATGGTGTAAATTAGGATTTGGGTCTTTTTTCTTTTTACCTTGAGAAGTAAGACCAATGGGAGCAAGCTCTTAAGATGTATGGAACAAGACTGTTTGACAATGGAGAGACTGGTCATTGGTCAAGAGATAGAAATGTTTTTACTGCAGGTTTTTCAAACTTAGTTTCCCACACAGTGTAATTCCCGCCATATTTTAAACAGGGTATTGATGACATTACTGGTGAACCATTAATCCAACGGGAAGATGATAAACCCGAAGCTGTTGCTGCTAGACTAAGAAAATACAAAGATGCTGCAAAGCCTGTAATGGAATTGTACAAGTGAGTTGGAATCTAAATACCATACAAGCCATTTTTAAAACAATACAAGAAAAGGCATGGAGTGTGTCAATAATCTTTTGCTTTTTAAATAATATTTTATTAAAGTTTTACAGATACAGAAATAAAAAACTGACATCAGCTAAGAAAAATATAAAACTAAAAAGTTCAGAGAGAAAAATAAATAAAAATAAATAGTAACACCCTCAATTAAAGAAGAAAAAAGGGGGGGAAAATATAAAGAAATGATTTCTCCCGTAAGAATAATCTCTTGTGTTTCTGTCTGTTGTGGACATACCACAAATATATATTTGTTGCAGTTGTCAGGTTCCGCTTCAATAAACTGAGAATAACCACAAACACACTTTGCTTTGCTTTGAAGTGTTCATCTCCTATTTGCAAGCAGCAGGATCTGACCAGCATGTAATGCAAATTTAGTCAGGACTGCCTAGTGCTCTCCACCACCTTTTAACCCCACACAAAAGCCACCCTGCCTGCCCCACACCCGGTGATTAACTCTAACAGACGAATAAGGGAAACGCTTTCTGCCAAATAAGGGAAACGCCAGCAGTCTCTGAATTAGTGCCTCTCAGCTGTTTGCGAGTTCCTTCTGGCTCTCCGGCTCATCAAAGTAGGTATCAGCGCCGAGCGAGTCATCCACGCGCCCCCGAAATGGCAGCCCATGTGTCCCAGGGCTGACAGTAGATCTTTGTCGTGAAGACCCATTGCGACCCCATGGACAATGTTCCTCCAGGCCTTCCTGTCCTCTACCATCTTCTGGAGTCCATTTAAGCTCACGCCGACTGCTTCAGTGACCCCATCCAGCCACCTCATTCTCTGTCGTCCCCTTCTTCTTTTGCTTTCAAATGTGCCCAGCATTAGGCTCTTCCCCAGTGAGTCCTTCCTTCTCATTAGGTGGCCAAAGTATTTGAGTTTCACCTTCAGCATCTGGCCTTCTAAAGAGCAGTCAGGGTTGATCTTCTCTAGGACTGACCGATTTGATTGCCTTGCAGTCGAAGGGACTCGCAGGAGTCTTCTCCAGCACCATAGTTCAAAGGCCTCAATTCACATACACATACATACATACATACATACATACATACATACATACATACATACGAAAGCAGTTGGAATGGTTTATTAGTTTCTACATGAATTGCAAAATATAACAAACCAGATAGGTTTTAAGAAATATTTTCTATTGCAATACACAATTATTTTTTATATTTAAAAGTCATGGGATACAATACAAATAGTTTTGGATAACACAAACTTTACTGAGTAATATTTTCCCTTTGTTCTGTTTTCCTACACCTATTGACATGTGAATACGGCATACGCCCAGATGAAAATACTTCCACTCTGAAGTATCTTATTAGAAATGCCCTTTATTTTCTTTGTTCAGTTACAAACATGTTATCTCTTTCACAACCTGAAAGACCTCTGGGAATATAGCTAATGGCTTAATCATGATTACACACAATTTGTATTCAACAGTTGCTAAAAGACTTACATAATTAATACAACCGAAATGAACATTAGCAGTTGATCATTCAAGTATATTTCAGTTGGTTCTAAAATTGTAGTCTTATGCTAATCAAAGTGTTTAAATACAAGATTCAATTAATGCCGTTTTTAGTTTCTGGATTTAATGCTCCCATGTCCCCTCTTTAGAGTATAATGTGTATTACCACAATTTCAAGAAGTGGAATAAAAATTGGCCTGGATGTGTTTTGCAAGTCATCCTTCTGATAAATTGAGATTGATCCTAGGTATCTATTCTCAAATCCTACCATATAGGTATTACTGCTTTGAAATGGTGTAAATAATGCAATATTTTTTTAATGATCAAGTTAAGTATCTGAAAAGATGAAGGAAGCATGAACTAATAGTTTAGTGTGTAGTGTCTTCTTAAATTACCTATTTTTTAGGTTTGTAAAAATACTACAATTTATAACACAAAACTTATATGTAAAGTTGGAAATGCATCAATTTGTGAAGAACTCTAAATAAAATCTGACAACTGTTGTAAGGGAAGTGATACTGTCCCCTAGGAAAGATGCCTGTGCACTAATTTCTTCTTATTTACTAATTTATTGGTTCTATCATATTGGTCAACTCTGTTTTGCAATTAGTTTCATTTCAGCAGAGTCAGAATTATTATCTAAGTTTAACTGTTTAAATTATGAATAGTAATGATTTGAATACATTCATTAAATTTTTTATATTGGACAAGTAGTCATATCTCAAAGCTTATTTTGTTGTTTTTTATTTCTATCTTTTTTCAGTTAGTTTTGCTTAGATTTTTTTCTTTTATGATACATGCCATTCTAATTCTTTGCAATTTTGTTTAATATATTAATATTTCTGAATCTTCAAGTGCTTGGTTCATCATCATCTGTAAGTAATTCCAATAAGGAATTCAGAGATAACATGTGTGACTAAAGCACAGATCGACAAAGACTATACTCATACTGTATATTGGTCATTTTTAATTTTTTAACTTCTTAATGATATTGGCAATAGCACTTATATTAATGTACCACTTCATAGTGCTTTACAGCCCTCTCTAAGCAGTTTACAGAGTTAGCATAATGCCCCCAACAATTTGGGTCCTCAAAGTGATTTTACATTTGGTTAACTATTTTTAATGGTTTTATTTTGCTTTTTTCAATAGTTTTGTATGTTAATGTTTAAATAACATAAACCCATAGTGCACCTTCCTTAACATGATTTTATCCTTTGGCTTGTATATTTCTCATCATGTGTAAGACTGCATTTCTATCACAAAGGGATTGCATGTAGTTTTATCATTGAGTGCTATTTTATGGTGATTGTTGACCAGAATAAAGATACTGCTATATTTTCAGTTGGTTACATGATGGAGAAGGCTAAAAAATGCAACAGAGTCAAAAGAGATGAGCTATCTTTTGCTGATGCATCTTCTTTTCTATCAGTTATTCTCTCATTCTTTGATCGTTTCTTAATCTGTAAGCATCAAGCTGCAGGAAAGGGACAGGTTGTTAAAATTATCTTGAGAGATGTGTGATCTGGAGATATAACCTGCATATGACAATGAAATAAGGGGGAAAGAGATATTATAATTACTACATATTAAAATAAACATATGTTTGGTTGACCAATTGATAAAAAAGATGTTTATGCATATACTACTTTTTCTGTTTTATTTAGAAAAGTAAATTGCAACTTGGTGATTAAATAAATGTTCTTTCAATAAGCCATTTTATTGTCATTCTATTGATATCTACAATTCCTGGAATTCAGAATAAGTTGCCTAAAGTCATAAGTAAAAGTACTTATCAGTAAAGGTATGCACACTGACAAATATAAAACCGTCAGTCCTGTTTTATATTGTTACCTAATCCTTTTGGCTTTTACTAACTAAAGAACACAGTAGAACCTGCAATACTGGTTTTCTTAAAATTATTCATTTGCTAACACAAATGTCTAATCTCAATTTCAGAAACAGAGGGATTCTTCACTCATTCTCTGGAACAGAGACCAACAAAATCTGGCCTTATGTTTATACTTTGGTGTCCAACAAGATTCCTCCAAACCAAGCAGAAGAAGCTAACTAAACATCTGTAAAATGGGAAAAAGAATTTTATGTTGTTGATTTTGGTCTTGTTTATGATGTGCTGTATCTCTACTCTGCTCTTTTTTTAAAAGAGTAGCTATTCTCTCTGATTCTACTGGAGAATAGTTGTGGAACTCCGTCTTTCAATGATTACTCTGTATGGAATTCTACTTCTTGGCATATAAATATTTGTGCACGGACTTCAAGTAATTGTAATGGATATGCAGAGACAGTTACACCTGAGCTGTTCTGTAGAATCCATTCCTCAGTCTCTCCAGCTACATTTAGATCTTCTCTGTATTCAGTGTGCATTTTCATGGGTCCTTAATCTAACACTCCATTTAAATGGAAACACACGGTATTCTAGGTGTATATTCAATGCGGTAAGCATTGTAGGAAATACATGCATTATGCAGGTCAAATAATGTATGTTTTGAGTACTTAAAAAACTGAGAAGAATCATGGTGAATTCAATCTCTCGGTTTGCTAAGAAGACAACCTTAGATAAATATCTGTTATAAAATGCTGCTGTATAATAAAATTAGACTTTTAAATTTGAGTGGCTTTAGGCCTTTCTTTGTTGAAGAGAGCAGGCCTGTTCTAGTTCTAAGAACAGTTGCACTACATGGTTAGTAGTTTTAAAACTTTGATTTTATAATATAGTACAACCAGTCACTAATAAAAGTGCAATATCTCTATTTTTTTTGCTCCTGTAAATTTGTCCCAATTAGCCATCAACCAGGCAAATGATTATGTGGGCAAACATAAGTCAGACCTAGTCGGTTGTTGGTGCAATAAGTAGCAAAAATCTATTGCTGCAGAGATGGCGAAATATATATTTGCAGTTCTATGCTTGCATTTTAGAATTGTCCAGGTAACTCTTAAAGCTTGGTCATATCACATGTGCAAAAATGTATATCAAGACTATGAATTAATTTAATGACAAGAAGGGAGATTTCTGACTTTACTGTCTGTATTTCCAGTATCCCCTTAATTTCCTTGCTAATTGCTTCATCAGACTGAGCCTGCAGGTAAGAGAAAACTTTGAATGAATAAAAACAGATCCATCTACTGTAAACCTACTCCTTAATATTCACTCTGCTTTTACAATGTTGTTGAGTTTATATGCTGCAATGGTGCAGTTAATGTGAGTATTGACCAAATTCCTGCCACCCGATTTTAAATCTAACAGTTGAATAGATTTATTTAACTTTTGGTGTGTTTGTTCAAACTTATCTTTTCTCAAAGGATCAATTTCTACATTGCAATGAATATGAGAAAACTGGGGCTCTGCTGTAGGTATCTCTACAGATTTTGTAGGATTCAACATTATTTTTTGATAATGGTGCTGATGGTCCTTGTTGGCCCATGCTAAGTCCTCGGGAGAGTTGTCCTTAAAAAGTCTATAGGAGATGTAAAAATAGCATAACTTTGCTAAATTGTCACGAGTTGCCTTATTTTATGCTGTAGAAAAGGGATGAGGTAAGGTGGAAATGCATTTGAATAAATTAGCCTTTTATGGAATTATTATTTTCTCTTTATGCTTTTGATATCTAAATTATGCTTTTTGACAGAATAGAAACTTCCACATATAATGAAATAGAACAAAAGTTTAATTGTTGGAACTTAATGCCCTTTTTTCTGCATTCCTACAAACACACATTATACATAAGTTGATACTTGGGAAGGAAATGGTAATTGCAATTAATATTTTCAAAATTGAATTGGCAAAGCCCCAGTTTTAGTATAGTACATTTCAAACTGTTAACTATTATTAAGAGTTCAAGAACTTTGTTCAGTTATTTAACCTTGCTGCATAAATTTTGAAATGAACTGTGTAGTAAATTTTATGTAGGAAGATATGCTACTATACAGTTCATTTTTCAATATCTTTACAGGTTTAGGGAGATGATCTGAATCAAATCATATAAGCATATTTTTAAGTACACATACACATCTTCCATGATTAGGAAACTTGTTCCATCTATGTCAGTGAGTAGCACCCTTTTAATAGGTCTACTAGAGCTTGGTTGCAATAATTACATCAGGGATGTAATTGAGGGGCACATCTGTTGTGTTTGACCTCGGGTGGGACGTGGCCAGGGTGGGCATGGTCCGCTTGATGTCACTCATGTCAGGGGCACCTGTGGTGGCCAAGTGCCCTCACACTCTTCCTTGCTCTCATAATCTATCTCCTTCCTCCCACCCTCCCTTCTTTTTCCTTCCCTCTTCAGTCTCCTTTTTTCTTCCTTCCCTTCTTTCCTTATTTTTCTTTCCTCTTTCCCTTTCTCCTTTCCTGTCCCTTCTTTCATGCTCAAATGCAAAAGGGGAAACATTTCTCCTTTTGTTTTGTTTTTAGTTTGTTTTACTAGCCCTCTGCCAGCAAAAATGGAGCCTGGTATGTGTGTGTGTGGCCCCTTAGGGCCTGTTTATGGCCACAATGGCCTCCTGTAGTCCTCTGCCAGTGAAAATGGGGCTGTTGGCGGAGGCTGTTGTGGCGAAAAACAGGTCCTGAGTGGCATATTTACTGGCAGAGGCACCGCAGGCTGGTTCTTTCAGGGAGGCCCTGTGGGCCAGATCTAAGCACTCTGTGGGCCAGATCCAGCTTGGGGGCCTTGAGTTTGACACCCCTGAATTGCATGATCACTAGATATCAGCAGATGAAGAAAAATTACAACTCCTAGCTGCCTTCTAGTAGTAATGCAGATTTTTGAGCTTAGATCTGGTAGGATTTTCCTATGAAGGTCTTCATATTGGCCTTGTAGTGATATACTACTCATTTTAGAGAACATACATTTCTACATTATATAAGACAATAGAAAGAAATTGCTTTTCATTTTTGTAAGAAATTTATTTTTACACAAAGCATTAAGAGGGAGAAACAAGCTGCCGTCCTATATATGCCGTCTCAGGAGCAAGTTTTCTTGAGTTCTGTGGATCTCATAAATTGTTACACATGGTATTGTCCATTTGCCCTTTAAAACTTTACACACAGATATTATTACTAATACACTATTTTGTTACTTGTTAATATTATTTGATTTAAAGAAGTACTCTAGCAATTACTTATGTGTGAGTGTGCAAATGCAAGTTAGTTACTCACTGTTGCATTCGTTGTTTTCACAGAACAATTGAGGTAGAAGCCAAAACGTTAAGAGTCATTGCATCACAGTAGAGTATTCTCAAACTTAAATTATGAAGCTTGTGCTCGTTGCACAGTGTGCATGAAATCCGCACTAGTCCTGTATATGTCAAACTTGTAGTATGATCTACTTGAAAAGCAAAGTCTTGCTTTTGGTTGATAGCTACTTCAACATATCACTGCAACCACCTACTTTCATTTATTACTGCCATTTAACTTTCAAGCATACTGTTGAATTTCTACCTGTTTTATATCTTGAACCTTTAAAAACATTGCCTTTTTATGCTATGCTGCATTGCCATTTACTCTTATTTTTTTAATGATGTATAAGCATTTATATGAAGCAATGGTTGTTGTCATGCTGTTATGGAAGTGAGCATGTCTGAAACCAACCCAAGCTTTTTATTTTGTAATGAAACATAGAATGCCATTTGGAGTAGATTACAAATTGGTTGTTCTGAGTGCTTCAATGTTTCTGACAATTTATTAATTGAAGATTCCATATATGTAGGTGCAACTCATCTACTGTATTTTTAGCATGACTGGTTTTTTGAACTTCTTAAGAAAACAAATTATGCTTCACAGTATATATTTGGAAATATAACTTTTCAAAGGTATTTTGGCATTTTTAAAAAAGACCTTGAGTCATTTCCACCAAATTCTATTAACTCTCGCTTCAGGGAGTTATTTCAGGGAGTTATTTCTTATTTCCTTGATGCTATCAGTAAGTGGAATCCAAAGCATCACCCTTGTTGCAGTTTTATAAAGTTTAGAAACTTCAATGTAGGCCGCATATGCAAGAGGGAGAGGAAACTGTTAAATATTATGTATATCTTAACTCTTTCGGAGATAACAAAGCTTTGGCACAACAAGAACATTATTTTATGTATATTATGATGCACATCACTCAGAATCATTTGGTAAGATGGGCAGCAATAGAAATCAAATCAATACAATAATAAACAAGATATGCTTGTTGTAGCTTTTCACTGTAGAAGGAAGGTTCATTTCCTCCTAACCTACTCCTGCTCAAGGTCTAATGTTACCAAGGGAGAAATGCTAAAATCCTCTCTGGTTTCCAAAGTGTAGATTTCAGAGACTGTTTCTGGAGAAAGTTCTCTTCATTGGTTTCCGTGATGGGTTTATACATTGCACTAAATCAAGCCATAATAGCCTGGTTCAAATGTAACCAACCCGAAGTCACAATGGGTGAATTCACATATCATAGCCCCAAGCAAGCATTTGGTTTAGCTTTCTACTCTGCCCCAAATTTTTTTCTCCTTGGTGTTTTAATTAGTGTTAGTCAATTATGAGCATGGACCTTAAATGTAAGGCTGGGTATGCACATTTTTTTCCTGTGCTCCAAGCACATAGTGAAAATAGCAGATAATGCCACAGGGATTTGTGATTTTCTGAAGAAAGGAGGGACAGAGTTCTGATCTTAGGTGAATTATTAATTTGAACCGATTCTATATATCTAGCTTGAAAAAAAATCTTTCAAAAAGACTTAACAAAGTGATAAAATAAGTTTCATTTGGAAGAATGAAATAGGGGAATCCAGTACATATATCACTGGATGCTGTGACAGCATATAACTGACCTTTGTTAATTTTGAAAAGCTAACTAGAATCTGACCTGTTTAATGGTTGGATAAGAGATGACCATGATATGGCTGTAGGCTAGTTTGGGAAGTTGAAAAGGCCTGCTGAAAGAAGGCAATAGTAAACATCTATCTTCCAAGCAAAGTACATGGGTATTCCATCAAGTCATCCACTGTTGACCTTCCCTTGAAAGAGAATATTTACACTTAGATATTGGAGAACAGAAGCAGTCTTCTGGCTCTAGTTTATAAGTCTTAGAATGTTGACATGTAAAAGTTACAGGAATCAAGCCATTCCAAAATTCATATTTATGGCAAAGGGGTAATCTACGAACACATTATATTGCTTTATGAATCTTCAGTGTATATAATTAAACATCAAATATGTTACAATATTAAAATACCTACTTGGTGCCCTGAATTGTACACATTCATTCCATATGTGGAATATTCAGATGCTACTGACTTTTTGTGATACCTTTCCCCCAGATTATTACGTCTTGTAATTTACCATCATTTTCACCTCACAATGTCAGCACCTTACTGTGAATCGGATGTGTTTTCTAAACTCAGCAATTGTTATAATGACTATAATGAGATCATATTGGAACCTAGGTATTCTTTGGTTAGACAAGTGTTGTAAACAATTTTTGTCTAGAATAACTTCATGGGAGATGCAGTTTAGTTCTGTATTGCATAGCCTTCTATCCCCTCCCTCCAAATACTCTATATAGTATGTATATAGTGCTCACTGTATGAGCACTTGTTGTGTGTTAATAAATTATCTTTAATTTAGTCCATGCTGTGAGAAGTGTGTATTGTGTAGATAAGGTAAAGTTTTCACCTGTCTAGTTGTGTCTGACTCTAGGGGGCAGTGCTCATCTCCTTTTTTCTAGCTAAGGAAGCCAGCTTTGTCCAAAGATGCTTCCGTGGGTCTTGTGGCCGACTTGACTATATGCCGAGGTGCACAGAACACTGTTACTTTCCCACCTGAGTGCTGAGTGGTACCTATTTACTTGCATTTGCATTCTTTCGAATTGTTAGGTTGGCAGGAGCTGGGACAGGAATGGGAGCTCACCCCATCAGGCAGTATTTGAGTCTTGAACTACTAACCTTCCAGTCGACAAGCCTAGTGTCTTAAGTGCTAGGCCAATACACTCCTATTATGTGGATAGATGAGTAATAAAAACCGGCATTGTGATTCCTGTATGCATAGATTATACCTGCAAACTTTTGTTTGACAATTGGCCAGTTTTGCCCTGACTTAGTTTCAATTTTAATTCACTACTTCTAACTAAAA